GTAAGACCAAGGTGGAAAGTTTCATAAAGTCAGTCAGAAAGGGATTAAAGATAGATGTGGATAATGAGACCATCTAGTGGTACACTTAATGGGATGAAGAAAATTCAAGTAATATAAACGTGCCTGCTGAATTGAGGGAGTTGTAAGAAACTTCCACCAAAGGTTTGGGTTATCCTTTATGAGGTTTTCTGCAACAAACTCTAAAACCTCTGAGTCTCCACTTTCAGGCCATGCCTACCCTTACACTTTAAATAGTATGCCTGTGGTGGTCTTCAGAATGCACCCAGTTTAAGAGGAAATTTCATTTGCAAAGCTGTTTTACCTGGAGGGTACAATAAAATATGTTGAAAAAGGCAGTGTTAGACATGACTTCAGACAAGATACCTGACTAACCAGACCTTTTGCTGATCTGATATAGTAGGAGTTCCTAGTAGTTCCTTTTTAACACAGTCTGGTGTTAATTTTCTAAATTTTTCTATGCAGTATCTATCTGAATCTAAGCAACTACCTCAGAAAAACAGAAGTCCTTTTGTTTCAAAATTATCAGTAAAAGGCAAGTTCTAACCAGAAAAGAATTGGTTCTGAGTCTCAGTATTTTGTTACACTGTAAACCTGATCTCCCAGTATTTTCTGAATTGTTATCAACTACCACGTAATTTCAGATTGCCCTTAAGAGGAAACAGAAAAGGGTGTAAATTTACCTGGGAATGGGTAAGCCACTTAAATAATAAATTAAAAAAAAAAAAAAACTATAAGGAAAGATAGGTAGGTCAAATGAAAGACAGGTAATGAGAAATGACAAAAAAAGTATCCTGTGTATTTTTTTTTTATTGTGTACACTGTGTGTGTGCACTTGTGCACACGCATCTTTGGGTGTGTATATATATATACTCACTGTATAGCTTGTAGTATAGTTGATTATAAAGAATACAAAAGACATTCTGTTGTAAACTTTAAAGAATATTTAATAACTTTTAAAAAATAAAATGTATATTTTAAATTTTGTTCTATATATGAATGCACAAAAATGTATCATTGTAGTTGCAGCAACAAAATCCAAAGAACTGAGGAAACCTGCCCACTGTGGTAGGACACCGGTGACAATCTAGGAGAATTCACAATGGAATCCAAACAAAATTTCCCATGGCGAGTCCTGACTTGTTTTCTTACTGTGAATTGTCTAACTCGGTATCTGTGAAGATCATTCACACTTTGCAAAGATCCTTGCAGACAAAGTTAATAAAGAGTCTCATTTTAAAATCAATGCCACAGTCAACTGCTGGTTTCTGTTGCTTACCTTTGGTGCCACATTTATAGCATAACAGTGAAGCTAAGGGGTAAGGAAGTGAATGCCTTCAACGTTCTCCATGCTAAAAGCCGCCTGTCCTATCTATGAACAGGGGAAGAGGCAGCCGGGAGCCATGTGCACTGAAAGATGTAACCAGTTCTTAATGAGTTTGTGAGAAGTGAGGGGTTTGGGTGGATTTGCATAGCAGCCATATTGCTGATGCAAGATAAAATATTTTTGCAGCTTCTGTGCAGTTCCTTCCACTCCATATTATAGATTATACAATGCTGCATTCAAATGGTAATTATTAAATGGAATAATAAACCTTTACAAGTTTATATTTGAGGGAGAGGAACAAAAAAGTATTCATAGAAACTGGAGTGAATGTCGGTGATGGTGCGCTATAAGATATGGAGCTAAATAATTCTGTTGTACAAGCAATAAGATTTGGCTGCCCCTGACACCGTACAGGAAAATAAACCATATTCTATTAAATATATATATGTATTCGTACATATATTATCACAATTGTGAAGATGAAAAGCCAGAAGTATACTGGACTGAATGTAAAAGAAATCCTGATGTTGCTGGATTGAACAGGTCCAGCCATCTGCCCTGTGCCTTCACATCTTGTTATTAAGCAGAAACAGCAATGAGCATAAATTAGGAGTGCTCTCCTTCAATATCTTTGTTGCCTTTGGTTCTGTCTTTAAATGTATTGAGTCCTCCTTCATGTTTAAAGATAAGAAGTGAAAATAATATAAAACACTTCACTAAAAGTGACAAACACTAATGGAGGCAATTGGAATTACTTCTGTGTTGCTCTGCATACATATGATATAAACAGCCTTTTAAATGGGTATCCTGTACTACAGGGTATTTATTTATAATCAACCAGTTCAACATTAAGTTTTAGGCATAATAAGGAACTTCTTTTGTTGTTGTTTTTAAAAAAAAATATTGTTGCTGTTCCATATCACACAGTATTTGGACCTCATCAGCAGAGAAAGGATGCAATGCTTTGCTTTTAAAAAGAAAGTATGATAAATCTGAGGCTTGTTGTATGCAGTATGTTCAGAGGTTTGAACTGGATTGTGCTGGTAATGCTTTAAGCACCGTAAAATCTGTTTGGTCTGTGTGAAGAGAGTTAATAACATCAAATATAGAAAACAGTCCAGTTCACGTTATAAGCAAGCTGCAGTAGCATCTCAGTTGGCAGTGTAAGGGTAGTGTTTAAAAAAGAATTATTAGCTGCAGCATGTGGTCTGGTTGTTGTGTTGGTTTTTTTCTTTTTTTCAGCTTTTTCTTCAGTTAGTGCTGAATTATTCTGTTGCAGCAACTGGAATTCACAGTGAGTATTGCCTATACTCCCTATAGATACATGTTTTTGAACACTGAGGCAGTTTATCTTGTTATAAAGACACCTAAACCGTGGAAAATGATTAGAGGGAACCACAAAGTATGACTTGTCCAGTCTCTGTTTCTCATTTTGTTTAGCTGAAGTCTAGTACTCTTCTCTAAGAGCTCAGCACATATTATTTGGAGACTCACAGAGTGAGGGTGTTTGATCTCTCTTCTCGCTATACCGCTGTCAGGCAAACTGATGAGAGTTGCCCTCGGTGGGAGCTCTGTTGCACAACGTTTTCTTCTTATCAACTGAGCCATGATCAGCCTGCGTCTCAGTGTTAATTTTTAATGGCAGGGATTGCTACAAATGGACCTGTCTACCTTTTATCTTCCTGTTTTAATAAGGTATTCCTCACTCTGTTACGCTGCTTTTCAGTGGTGGAAACGCTGAGTTGTCAGCAGGAGCCACCTGTGTGTACAGACTACAAACCATGGCAAGAACTAACCGTTCACCTAACCTGGAATCCTGTCTATGCAGTAAGAAAGGAACAGAGCGGAAAGAGGGAAGAAATGGACTCACGCTGTCTTTTGAAGAGCAGGACTGTTACAGGTCAGCCTGGGCTCAGGAAGCAGACAGCATTGAGACTGGTGGTTGCAACACCAAGAGTAAGTCTCTTGCATTGGGTACAGGGCACCTGTGTGTGGGCTACTCACTCAGCTTAACCTCTCTCTTGGGTTGAGTCTGTTAACATTTGTCAAGGCTTGTGAACATGGCAGTAAAATCCTTCCTTCAGTGCTGGTGAGGTTGCTGTGATAGTGAGTGATCGGGAGTCCACATAAAATGCACCCAGCTAATACATCACTTTCCACTTAGCCTGCACAGCTAAGTGCCCCACACTACAGAGGCTGATGCATAAAAGAAGGGGGGTAAGATTTTGGAAGATGCTTGCTCTTTCACACATCAGGCTGTCCTAAGAACTTCCCCACAAAATATGGAGTTGTTCAGTCCTGAGAGGGAGAAGGCTGCAGGAAATTGGCAAAGAGGAAAAAAAACCCCAACACCTAATACCTAACAGTATTTGTCAGTGGTGCAGGCCCAGAAAAGGGTTACTGAGGGGTGTTACTGTTCAAATAGGCTGTGGGTTGGTGAGTCCAGCTTTACTGCTGGAAATGGCCTTTAAATCAAAGCAAGGAAACCATCACTGATAGCTGAGACCTGCTGTTGTAAGCACTAAAGGTACAGGGGAACATTTTTTTTGCCTGAACTTGATGAACGCGTCTAGTAGGAGTGGCTGCATTGAGCTTTCTGGGAAAAGAGGTCACCATGGTTGTGCCTCTGGTCTATGGCTATTGTCATGGCTGAGAGGTCCTCAAAGGCTGGCTGCAGGGAGCAGGCCAGCTGCATTGCTGTTCCCTGCTGTGTCCTTTCGCTAGCGTGCTTCAGCTTCTCCCTGGCACATGTGCATTACCTGGGGCTGCTTGCTGATGGGGAATTCGTTCTCTGAACAACAGGAAACAGCTGATTCTTAACCTCATTGCTAGAAGGTGCGCGCAGAAGGGTACTACATAAATTACTTCAGTTACCAATGCAGGGTGTGGAAATTGGAACACTGGTGGCTGTTTTCTGGCTAAGGAAAGTTATGATTTTGATTTCTGCCAATTCCAGAAAGTGTGGGGTACATTCTAGCCAACAGCCAGGTGGGAGATGGGTCAAAAAAAATAGAACTGAGAGGTTACTCCAGTTCTAACAAAGACAGACTGGTATGCCTTGGCTGCTGTAACCATGCAGCTGGGGGAAAAAGAAACAACTAAGCATAAAAACATCTGAAGTCTCAATAACGCTCAGAAAAATGAGCTATGTGCAAAAAATTTTTCCTCAGCAAGGCAAACTCTATCATACCTGCAGCTGATGATATCCCAAAGTAAAAAATTAATGAAATGGTGACATTCAGGGGAGGAACAGCTGACAGCTTTGAACAGATCTTCAAGTGTGGAAATGAGTGATACTTTTTGGCAGACTAACTTGAAACAGGGATGATAAAAAATAAAACCATAGTAGAATGACAGAGAGCCCACTCACAAGTTGTTTACTGAAATGAAGATACAGCTGAAAGTAATTACTTGTTTCCCAGAGGTGTAAGTGATAGTGCCTTCTACAAGAAATAATACTTGGTTATTTCAGTTGGAATGTAAAATGGGATAGAAAGGTTCCCTCTTTCTGAGGTTAGATGCTGGGTATTTTCACCTCCTTTCAGTACAGTATGTGTATATGAATGTAATATATATATTACATGTACATCTATATGCCACAGGCAATTAATAAGTGAGACAATGTCCAATATTGTTTTCCCTTAACAGCCAGATCTCACAGATTCTGATTAAAAGCCTGACTTTGCAGCACATAAGATTAAAAATACTCCTTTAAAAGAACGTATTTCTGAAGATGATCCTTTCCTGGCTACAAAATCATCTTGAGATGCTTGGAGGCAGGGCTGCTTGATCTCGACATTTTAGCTGTGTGCAAACTGTAGTAAAATTACAATTGCATTCAGTGCTAGCTACTCTGTACTCCGTACCTTCTTTCCATGATGAACAACACTCATTTTCTACACTGTCTCTTCCAGACCATGAAATGGGGGAAGGCAACCTGGCAGGTTTTGCAGAGGTTGCCTCAGTGCAGTCTTCTCCTAACATCTGGTTTGCAGATCAGCCCCTCATAAGCAGCCTCCTTTGCCTTGCTGTAGGCCATGGAAAAGGAACCATTGCTCTTTGGAGGTTTTCTTCTGTTTAAAGACAAGGCTGCTTCTTACCTGTGCCAGTTCAAGTACTGACTTTTTCTTTTCTTCCTCCTTCAGTAAAGTGGGGTGATTCACAAGATCTTCAGAAAGATAGCATTATACACAGTTTATAGTACAAAGGGGGGAAAAAAGAGATCAGATGGATAAGCATGAAGGAGATTTCTCCTGTGTCCTTTGGAGGAGGAGCAGAAAGATTGGGAATGGTATCTATGCACAGTAGGTGTCTGCCTTGACTACCTGACAATACATGGTCATTGCAAAGGTGAGTCCAAGAATCTAAGAGGGAAAAAAAACACAATCATTTTTCAGTAAGTAAAAAACCCCCTATTTATTGAAACAAACAAAAGAGAGACGAGCGTGCTTACACTGGTTTTGTTCACACACAGGAAGACACATCACATACTTTTCCTGCCAGTTCATGTCCTTATTCTGTTCCTAGTTTCTGTCTGCCTTTTGTCCTTATCTGTATTGCTGTTTTACAGAATGAACAATGAGAGCATGGGAGAGTTGATTCTCGACAAAAAGCAGCCACCGGATACTGGGAAGAGGTGTATTGAAAAGAAACGTTTGGATGTCTCTTGAAAATATTTTATAGTAGCTAGTAACCCAGAGCTGTGGGGCTGGGTGGTTATCGCTGTAGCTATTGCTTTGAAACACAATCATCCCGGACCCAAACGATGCTGTGGTTTACTTGACTGCACTGCACTTTTCCCAGTGTATGTGTGCACGGGTCCCTGTGGGGGGATCACTGGAGACTGCCCATGCATTAATCATAACCATCAATGCATCTGTCTTTCTACTCAGCCTATTCAAGAGGAGCAGCAGGGAGGTGGTGCTGCTTCTCCCAGCCCAACTACTGACCTGCTGTGCTGCCTCTGGTAGATTACTTCATGAGAAAAGGCGATGGGAAAGAGAGTCTTATTTTCCTTCCACTTGAAATACTTACATGAATGTAGTAATTGGTTGTTACTATTCCTTTGCAATACCACTGTAAAAATTGTCATTGAAATAAAAGTTTGCCAGGTAGAAATTTTTTGTATGAATTCTATTTTAGGCACTTAATTTGACCGCTTCAAATTTAATCTTTACATAAATAGTAGTTCCTGTTTATGAGTATTTTGAAAGAATACATGAAGGTAACACACAGTATTTTATAACCCTTTTAAAAAATTATTTATAAAGCTGCTATCTTCTTCATTTCCCATTCTTCTGCAGTGAAATATGATTGTTAGGCTTTAGTGTGCTGTTTTATAGTAAGAATATGCCTTTTAGAAGTATCCCCTGAACCCTGCCTTCTACTTCCTAGCAAAGGAACACCTTCAGGGACAGCTGCATAATAAAACCTCAGGGGCTGAATTTGTTTTATAATTATGAGCATGCATGGACTGAAGAAGATTCTTCTGCCACATGCTTAGGGCCAGAACAACATTCTAACAGCAACAACAGAGGGAGCTAAATTGAATCACATAGTGCAGCTGGAAGACAGACTCAAAATCTTTTGTGTTCTGACATGTTTTCTCTGTATTTCACAGCACTTACTAGAATATTAATTAGCATTTTTAAATTGCCTGAAGTGTTTTCTCCCATGCAAACTAATAATTTCTTTCTATCTGAAAGATAGTATTCTCTTAAATGCCCTAAATATAATAATCAAGGTCTATGAGAAGGACTCTAACACAGGCTGCTGGGTTTTTAATGTATCTTTTAAAGACTCCCTAAATGCTAAAGAGCTGGTTTTTAAAATACGGTAATATATTAACAACAGTCTTACATTGTCCCTCTGCCATATGATCTTGTGCTTATCTTTCTTCCTAAGTATATCTGCTTATGATACTGGAAAACAAAAAACAAAACTCTACTGAATTTGGGCCTGTGAGGATTCAGGCATTTGCCTTAGTAAGTTGCCGCCAACACGTGGCATACGAGAGAGTAAGATATATGCCATTCTGCCTAATCTGACATTAGTGGGAATACAAGTGGAATTCTAATCCCAGGCTCTCTCTTGCTGCTGCTATTGGTATAACATGCAAAATTAAAAAAACCCACGCATGGGTTTTATCTGGAGTTACATGGAATTAATTTAGCCTAGCAATGCCATCCTTTCTGCTTATCTGTTGAGTGTGAGAGAGGTGGAGCTGGAAACTAAAGCTCCATCTTCACTGCATTCAGGAATGGGACTTTGGGCCATAAACGGAGGGCTGACATACAGCTGAAACAGCCTGAGCTCCAGCACAGCTTTCGGCTGAGGTTTGTGCTGTCAGGGCTGAGCTATGGCCACAACACAGGTATGTAAGAGACATTACTTCACTAACAACTGATTCTTCTCTGACCAAAGTTATGCTGGAAATAACTGCAGGTCAAAAATCTGACAGGCAAGTCTATGCCAATCTTACCTACATAGTTTCGCTGCCATTAATAGAAAAGGAACATGGTTTTATTGGCCAGGTTGAGTAATGGTAACCACATCCCAACTTGTAACTTACCCTAGGACTGAGGACGGAGGTGAAGACTTACTTAAACTACCTTTAAGCTATCTTGAAGTTAGATATTTAGCGTAAGCAGATGGTCCTCTCTGGAGAATTATTGGACAAATACAGGTATCCTAAAAGGCAATTCACCCCACCCTGATTAGGCTTCTGTGTTTGGATGTCAGGGACTACCTCTCTGCTGAGTCTAGTCTAAGCCTTAGATAAACCATTTGGTAAAGTGCCTGCTCTTTGCAGTGCATCATACAACAGAAAATGTGTGCAGTATTCCTAGTTCTATACCTTCTACATAGTATATTAACTAAATGAAAACATAAAAGACTTGACTTAAATCTTGCAGAGTTTTACCCTAACATCATGCAAAATTTGAAATTATTAAAACAGGCTTGGGCAGAGTATATCTGGATCAAGGTTACTTATTTAGTTATCATTAATTAGCATTTTAAAATTGATATCAAACTGTACCTGCACCATAGCTGTGCACAATCCAAAGATTCCCACTGCTAGCAAGTTTTCCTGGAGCCATATTTTCACTGTTTCGTAGCAAGGCTGTGGAAAAACCCCAGAATATTGTATTAGTAAACACACAGCTCTACTTCCCTGGGAATTCAGAGACAGAAAAGAGCCAGATCAGACTAAGCTGCTAGGTAGCCTGGATTACTATTTCAGCATTGGAACAACTACCTTGTGTTTCTGAGGTGAAGCTTGAATGTGGAGTAATAATTGTAATGACACAAAAATGTGTCACATAATGTGCACCTCAACAGTGCTGCTTGAGCACTGCTCCATATAATTTGGGCCACTAAATTCAAAATTTGACTTGGAGCTACTTGAGAGGTAGGAGGGAGCCGTGTTTGGTTGGAACTCGGTCTCTGCCAGTGCCAGTGCCCATCCATGCGTATGAAATCTCACTGGAAAGTGGCCAAAACAGCTCTGCTCATTGTCTTCACAAACCATTAGAACCAGCAAAGCTTCCTTAAAACTCTGCTTCATCAGATGGCCTTACTCCACAGCCCTCCTGAGTAACTGCACTACTTGTAATTAGCACAAAGAATTGCTGGGCTAATTTCAGAGAAGAATTTAGGCTGTGGCTATCTGCTCTGGAAGGATCTTGCTGAGGACAGTATAGGGAAATTATCCCATGGAGTTTTGAATTTGATTACAGGCAAATGCAGAAACTCATTGCAAAAAACAATGCTGCTGGCAGTTCAGTTCCCACTCCTCTACTGTGCAGTGGGAGCCCCTGAACTAGGGTTCCTGGCAGGAGCAGAGCACTCCAGGCTCACGCAGTCCTCTTGCCTCACGACTTGCCTGGGTGACGATAAGCTACGGCTGCTGCGCCAGGGCTTGTGCTATGTGTGTGGACAAGCCATTTGCCTTTACCTCACTCCAGAAGGTGGGACACTAAAATTGACACTAAAATGACAATCCTGTCATTTCCTAGCTAGGTGTCATTTCCTGGCTAGACTGTGCTCCAGATCAGTGTTGGAAGGTACTTGTGTGCAATGTGAAACAACAGCTTAGAGCTTACTGAAAAGAAAGCCTTCAGCTCGTAAAAGTAATTAAATTGGCGGTTTCATTGGAGCTCAAAAGCCACAGCTCACCTTCTGAAATCACCTGATTAAAGATGAATAAGGGCACAACATACCTTATCATCTGTACAGCCCTGCAAATGACTAGCTGCCTGCCCTTCACCTGGGTTGCAAGGCAGCTGCTGAGCTGCTTCTGGAGAGCCACTCACCGCTTTCCACCAGGTCCCTGGGGAATGGAGTCCACAGTTCTCACTGAATTCTAAGCAGCAGGAGTCCGGCACCCGGGTTGTATTGTACACTTCAAACCAGTCAGTGTAGTTGGAGACTCCACAGCATCTGAACTGGAAAAAGAAGAATCAAGACGATACTGTAAGTATGATCTGCCACTGACTTCTGCTCATTCTGCCTCTTGCCTCCTGGAGTTGGACATTCAGTGCATTTTGATAACACCAGCAGAGTCTTGAAATTTTAAAGAAATACAGTATTTCCTCAGCTTTACCCAAATAGACCGTTTTCCCCACTTTTATTATGTTTAAATATGGTCTTGCATGTAGCTACTGTTGATACAAGAAGCAAAGGCACCTATTTGCAGTGGCAGGACGCTGCAGGAGCTGAAACAGGAGAACCCCAGCCAAGTACTGAGGTTAAGAGTTGATGTGACTGAGCAGGATTGTAACAATCGTTTGCAGCTTCTTGTCAAGAAAAGAATTATTTAAGATACAGCAACCAGGAGATGAAGATACTGGGATCTCTGCAGGACACTACTTCTGAAATCATGATTGAAGTTAATAATGAGGCAAATTTCTCTCTAAGCTGTTAATTACTGATCACCTTTGAAAGTCTTTGTCAGTCAGTAAAAGATGAATTTCCTCCTCTTCTCTCTTTGCTGCAGTCCTTAATGTCATCATCTGATGCTGCTAAACAGTGGTGCTTCAAGTGTCTGCATATGACGACACAGCGTACAATGACTATGTTTGTTAGTGCTAAATGGGAAGGTTTGTTCACCTTTGGTGGCGGGACGAAAGGTGGAGGAAGTGTATGTAACAGTACAGGGAATGGCTCTGTGACCATCGTCCTCCTCTGGGAACTGGTATATTCCGTGGTACAAAATAAGCCAAGGCATTACCATATAGATGTATACACCATCTGTCACTCCTATGCTAACTCAAAGGTATGAATTTGTTGGTATTTAGACACTTTACCACTAATGAGTAAAACAAGATGACATTGGGCTGCAGAAATGCTCTCTGCTATTGGCAGTACTTCCCACTTTTTCAAGGCTATGGCAGGCACCTACTTAGCCCCAAAATGACTTGCCAAGATCTTATTTTTTAAATGTGATTTTTTATAAGCCTGTACAGTATTTTTTCACATCCCTATAGAGACCATTCCTCTTGTTTCTGATAGACTCATAATCATGCAGATGTGTGCATCACCAGGACCAAGGGCCTAATTCAGATCCTGATATTTACACTGGCCTGAGGGAGAATTTTCCCTATATATAATAGCTGTAGAGTCTATGGGCACAGAGGGCTGAATGTTCAGGTCTTGTTGCACACACACGGTCATACAATAGAATCATAGAATAGTTTGGGTTGGAAGGGATCTGCCATTCAAGACCAATAGAGGGCAGAGGTGTCACGCGTTGCCTCGCACATCATACGCTGCTTCAAGCACTTGCAGAAAGTAGTCCGCGATAGAGATGTCTCAGTGCTCACAGTGTTGTTTTTCTTCTGCCAAGCAGAAGTCAGAAATCTTTCCCAGACTAACATCTATCCCGCAAAGGGTCTGCTCAGAATTCTGATTTGGCCCGTGGCAGGAATCAATCCTTAGCTTGCAACTGTTTGATTTGTGAGTTTACAGGCTTCATTTTCTACAAACTGACTTGAAAGTAAAAAAGTTTGTGACTCTTCTTTTTTTCCCCTCTGCGTTCCTGCACACAAGACAAGAGTGTGTAAGAGCTCTGTGCATAAGAGGTCCCAAAAGCTGATAGGAGCAGCATGGAACACATGGCATGCATTTGAGGAAAGCCGGTTTATCTGGAAATCTAACGAGAAGGTCTTGCAGGCTGTCATCATTAGAGTCAGGAGGCAGCTCTTTGATAGACAGTGAGAAGTGACAGATTGTAAATAGCAAGCCTTGAAAATGTGGCTCATCTGTGATGTAGAGACTGCAACAGTAACAGACATTTGAGTGATGTTCTGGCCAAACACAAGTGACACAAGTTTGCATAAATCAGAACTAGACTCCTTCTTCCCATAATATTGCAATGGCTGAGGGTGTCAAAGTCTGACAGACTAAGGAGATGAAGTACGGGTTTTGTACTTAAGGGCTCACTAACAGGTTGAGGACAGCTGTTCCGATGGAGCCTGTGGAGCAGAACATGGCTAGGCCATGTTCTAGGGTTGTGACTCCAAAGAGTCAAACTTTCTGATAAGCCAGAAGGTGGAAAAGAAGGGGATGCAGTTGGACACACATTGGCTGCCCACATGAATCTTCTGTGTATTGTACAAGAGCAGAGGATTAAATATTGATAGTTGCCTGCCACTTCTGGCAGACAAGGCAGTCCCAGCAATGGGAGAAAGGGCTAAGAGAAGATCAAGGGTAAAAAATAATGAAGTAGCATGAGGATCAATAGTCTTGGGACTGGAAGACACGTCACGTCTTTGAAAGACAAAGGAAGGATAAGCAATGGAATTAAGCAGCAGATGATGCACAATCCTAAAGGAGAAGGAGGTGACAAATACAGAAGAGTACTAACAGCACAGAGACCAGAAAGTGCACGAGCAAGTGAGCGAGCAACATTCAATGAAGACCAATTCCAGTGAAAGGCACCTCTAGGGAGCAGAGGCACTGACCCATGGCAGTGGGTCAAAGAGGTAAGAACAAGGAAACAAGCAGCAGTGGGACAGAATGGGTCACCAGTATAGATTCAGCAAAGGGGTCCAGCTAGAAACCAAAAAGATGGGTAAGCTGAGAGCTCAGAAAAGTCAGAGATTTCATTGTGGAGGCCCAAGTAGAGAAGACAGAGTGTGGCAGCGGTTTTGCATCATGTGACAAGTGACTGATTTATCCTGTGTGCATGAAGCTGAACAATAAGTAGCCAAATTGTTGAGGGAGATGATGGACTATGAGAAGAAAGGGGAATATTGAGGACAAAGAGCAAAGTAAGAGGATTTTTTAGAGTCCTTTTAGATTTAAGAGTGATGTTTAAAATTTACAAGGTTTCTGAGCAAGGATAGTTGGAGACAGTCCTACACTTGGAGGACGGAGAAAGCTCAGGTCACATGAAGGATAATTTTCTGCCTGTTGTAGCCAGTTATACCGGTCTTCATGTTCTTTCACAAAGCCTGATGTTCTGCCAATGCCAGGAAGTTAAACTGACTGTCATGAAGCAATTGCAGACCTTGTTCTTGCTACAACCACATTCATTTTTTGGTCACATTTACAGTCCTGTCTTGTTCCCTTCACTAGTTAAGTGATAAAATTAGACAATGTCACCTAATTGATTAGTTCTGTTCCTAGTTTCATCAGGGAACAATACACTTAGTTTTTAGAAACTGTACTGCATTTGCATGGCAAGATTTCAGCAGCAGCGGGGGTTGCAGGGGTGGCTTCTGTGAGAAGCTGCTAGAAGCTTCCCCCGTGTCTAACAAGAGCCAATGCCAGCCGGCTCCAAGACGGACCCACCACTAGCCAAGACCGAGCCCATCAGCGATGGTGGTAGTGCCTCTGGGATAACATATTTGAGAAAGGGAAAAAAAACTGGCACACAGCATTTGCAGCTGGAGAGAGGAGTGAGAAGATGTGAGAGAAACAACTCTACGAACACCAAGGTCAGTGAAGAAGGAGGGGGAGGAGGTGCTCCAGGCGCCACAGCAGAGATTCCCCTGCAGCCCGTGGTGAAGACCACGGTGAGGCAGGCTGTACCCCTGCAGCCCATGGAGCTCCACGCTGGAGCAGACATACACCTGCAGCCCAGGGAGGACCCCACGCCAGAGCAAGTGGATGCCCGAAGGAGGCTGCGACCCCATGGGAAGCCCACGCTGGAGCAAGCTCCTGGCAGAACCTGTGGACCTATGGAAAGAGAAGCCCACACTGGAGCAGGTTTGCTGGCAGGACTTGTGACACCACAGGGGACCCATGCTTGGAGCAGTCTGTTCCTGAAGGACGGCACCCCATGGAAGGGACCCAGGCTGGAGCAGTTCATGAAGAACTGCAGCCTGTGGGAAGGAGTCACACTGGAGAATTTTGTGGAGAACTGTCTCCCGT